ACCTCAAATCAGAGTCAATGTGCCAATTTTTCGATAAACGTGGTTACCCTGTTTCTGCCGTTCAAGCGGGTTACCACCGCGCCCAACTTATTGATCGACATTCAGCACTACAAACGTCGCATAAGGAAGATTCCGACCGCATTCCATTCACTCTCACGTTTCACCCTCACAACCACTCAGTTAAATCCATCATTCTTAAAAACTTTAAATTTACTTCAAAACGATCCAGAGACAAGCACTATCTTTTTGCAGCCTCCGCTCATTTTATTCAAACGCGACAAAAACATAGGCAATTTTTTGGCCGGAAGTTCTTTTCAGACTAATGACCAACCAGACACTTTTAAATGCACTCGTGCACGATGCAAAACGTGTCCTTTCATTCACAACACCTAAACGATGCATTAAGATCACCGATCACTTCACGTGCACCTCCGCCAATGTGATCTATTGCATAACTTGCACTTATTGCAAAAAGATATACATCGGCGAAACAGGCAGAAGACTAGGTGACCGATTCCGAGAACGCCTTCGAGACGTGGAAAGGAATGACAAGGACACATCGAAACCAGTCGCTAGACATTTTAATTTACCTAATCATTCTAACCAACATATGGCAATCTGCGGTCTTTCCTTACACTTAGGTAGCACGGAAAGCCGTAAAAATCTTGAAAAAAAGCTCATCTTTCAAACAGGCAGTCTAAATCCCACAGGGATCAGCGAACGCTTTTCATTCCACTAATTTATTCTTGTTTTTCTCGTTGCCATGTTCGCACCAATAACGTAGCTCCATTTTCTGCCTTTAAAAGCACACACAACCCACAATTCCTCTATTCCCTGCGAGGAAGGGCTAAGGCTCGAAACGTCAGCTTTTGTAATCGTTACGGTGGCCAATTTACCATTTCAACTTTGTTGATATATCCAAATTATTTCCATTCATTCTCTCGACACTCCTATAGGTCTTAAAGCACACTTAATAAAAATTTTTGCCAGGTTCCAATTTTGTCTTCTAACACATTGCACAATCAACAGATTTTGGAAGTGCTTCCTAACAGGTAAAGCAAATCTGCACTAGTTCAATATTTGGAAACCCTCAAATAGCTTTTTCACGATTCACAATTGTTTTCTTTTTCTTTTATAGCCCCTTGAATTTTTCCTGTTTTAGAAAGACCTGACAGATCGATATTTACTTGAGAGAAACCTGTGTCGTGCTGTGAACGCCCTCCACAAATATTACCTTTACGAAAGAACTTCACCTGAGACGAATACGAGAACAGCAAGCAAACACGTCTACACATATGACGCACGTTTCATCAAACGTTAAGTGAAGCAGTAAAACAAACGTCGAGCATTGGAGAACTTAGAAACGTTAGATATGTAGTTTCGTTCTAGGGATCGCTTCTTTTCTAGTCGAGCTGGGGGAGCAAACTTCATCATGGTCAGGAGCAAAGGTATGGTATACTAAACTGAGCTATTCTCATCATTCATGGCTTAGGATCTGTTTCCTTTTAACTGCTGCTGTGAGAAGCTTCAGTTTTCCATCAAATTTGACTTAATCCAGACTTTCATGTCCTGCAAAGGGAATAACATCTCGGTAACATCATCGATAAAAAAAATCTACCTGTAAGATGTAACAGTTTGCCACACTAAGACACTGAGTCACCCAAGGGAGCATAAAACTAATGATCTCAAAAAGTGTTAGTTAAAACAGATCTTTCTCTTTCTTGAGCGACACGAAAATCGACGTAGTTATTAACCGCGTCATTAATGTATATGTCAAACATTTTGGAGAGATAAAAACACCACAACGTATTTTGCTTTTAACTGTCCACAGTAAATTACATTTAAAGAGGTCAATTTCATTTCCATGTTTGACACCATGAAAGATTTCGTTACCATTCACAGAGATAGTTGTTTTAAACTAAATTTGATTCCAGTTTTTTAAGCTAAACATCAAACGGCAAAATGCTTCCTTGGAAACGAAATACTACCGTATTGTGCGAATTGTATTTTGAATTAAGTACTGTCTGTGTTGTGATTCAATATTGTCCTAGATGATTTTTTAAAATTCAAAACTTTTCTTGGCGTAAATAGGCTATCTTGATCGTCATTCTTTTCAAGCAATTATAGGGCACAAATTTAAAGAATTGATATCGATAGATAATACATAAGAAGCATCAAATGGCACAACTTCCCTTGGTAAACAGACAGAACCAGTTGTTCTCAATTACATTACACAGTCTACACAAGACAAGGAGAATACATTATTAAGATGTCAGTTTTGTTGCAGCCTGAAAAATTAAGAGACTACACTATTCTGAACTTTAAAAGTGATAACTGCACAGTTTAAGAAGAAGCGTGCTCTCTCAAGAAAGCAGATCATTAAAAACACTCTGAATTATGTTTTTTCTGCTCTCTCTCTTTATATTTTTTCATTTATCAAACCTTAGCATTCAGTGGAAAGGGCGATTTTGTTCCTTCTTAGGAAGTTTGGTTATCAAGAAATGGATTACAGACTAGTACGACCTACAAAAGGCCATTTTAGAATTACCTTTGGCCTCTATTTCAAAAGGAGGCCAGGAGCCCGTTTCTCGAAGGTTCCGGTAACTTAACGGACCCGTAAAGCTGTTATGTTTTCTTTTAAGATGGCGATTTCAAAAGTTTTGAAAATGATGGAATAAAACTATCAGCTAAAGAAACAAAAAGGACTTGTTTTGGGTGCCAGAACCTGCTTCCCTATCCTTTAAATTTTGATTTTAAAACATTGCTTCGGGCCCGTTAAGTTACCGGGACTTTCGAGAAACGGGCCCCTGGTCAGTCAGATATTTCTTGCGTATTGGATTTCGCAACAATAAGTAAGTCAATAATGGTCGACACGAAATTAAAAGTTTGAAACGTAATAAGCTGTTATCTATATTTAAAAGAAATCTTCACATGGTTAAATTAAGTCGCCGAGCAATGAACTCATATTTTTACGTCATTCCTTAGGGTCGAATGACTCTAAGAAGGAAGTGTTTTAAGAATATGGAACGAACTCTAGACTTTTAGATCATCAAATGGCATTAGACTGTGTACTTGTTGTGATATTGTTGACGCTATGCCAATTTCATGATACTTTTTTGGCTAAAAATGCAGTAAAAAGTGATTTCTTTCATCGCTCCGACGTCACAGGCTGTTATCTAAGTTTACTTTGGGGCTCTAGTTGTCCCTTTATTTAGCATCAACTATAATGAAACAAGTTAAACGGATGTTTCTCGCGTGGTTGGAAAGTAATTAGCAGGTATCCAATATTTCCCAATCACATTAGATAAAGAACTATTATGTAGCATCCATGTTATGCTTGTGATAATTCGAGAAGTCAACTATGTATATTCTGTCAGAACATGCCAATTAGAATACGCGTTTATTTGTAGCCGGAGCAAAAGAACTTTGAAAGCCAAACTCAGACAGATTGTTCATAGTATTTCATACTGGTGGCGTTTTCAGTCCATTCACGATCAGAGTACA